ATAAAAATATAAAAAAAAAAAAAAAATATATATATATATATATTTTTTTTTTTTTGATGATTATATTATATATATATGTATGTGTATACATATAAACTAAACATAAAAAATAATTTTTGTATCTCTTAAAATCAAAAATTAATAAAGTAATAAGATTTCCTATATTTAAAAACAATCATAATGATAGAAACAGAGCTAAAAAAAAATAGACGCTATGTAGAGAAAAATATTAGTATCAAAATGTTAATATCAATTACAATTGACTTTTGTTTCTCGATTTCTTAATAAAATTTATTAATTTTGTAATATTAAGAATATTTTGAATATTAGCGCCTTTCTATAAGCGCCTATTCTCTCTAATCTTATTTTTATCATGATTATTTCTTATAAATCACTGATTCTGTGATAACTTTATTTTAATACTTTTACATGCAGAATTAATTAGAAAAATATGTAATTAGAATATTGATAAATAGAAATAATACAAAAATGTATTGTGGAATACACAATTTCTGATAGTTTGTATTGTGGAATACACAATTTCTGATAGTTTGAAATTCTTATTTTCTGTTCTCTATTCCTATTCCTTTTACTGAGCCCCTAATGTGTAATCTCTATACGACACGCTTAATCCGGTTTAATTGACCAATCATAGCTGTTCCTCGAATGAATGAAACAACTGTGATTGGCTAGTTTCATAACTACGGATGCAATTAAACCCGATTAGCGTGCCGTGTAGCAGTGGTCTATGTTCATACATATAGCCGGTCACAGAAAGGTTGCAACACTTTTTCTTCAATGGGTTTCAGAACACAACTTGCTTTCCGAGTGATTGGTTCTTATGGATCTATAAATAAGAATCAATCGCTTGATGATCAAACTGCATTCCAAAACCCATCGAAAAAAGTATTGCAATTTTTCTGTGTACATAAAAATTTTCATTTTTCCGCTCTAAAAAAAAGTTACATGATCGATACTCTAATTCCCATTTCTACCAATGTAAATTAATTTTAATCTCAGTTCAACTAACTCTTCGTTTTTTTCTAGTTCTAAAGATAGAAAAAAACGAGTAAGTTGAACTGAGATTAAAATTAATCTACATTGATAGAAACGGGCATAAAGAGCTCCACTCAACAATAAAAGGAACAGGAATAAAGGGAATAGAACAGAGAATAAAAATTTCAACTATCAGAAACTATCAGAAACTGTATATTCCACAATACACGATTTTTGATAGATTGAAATTCTTATTCTCTGTTCTCTATTCCCTATTCCTTTTATTATGCGGAGCTCTTAATTCCTTGATTGTGTTGTCAAATTCACTGGTAGCGTTGAAAATCTACAGTCTACGGCTAGTATTCATTTGTCTTAAGATGTCATAAACCAATCAGAAAGCCATATTAGCATCTTTATGCATGGTCTACAATGGATAGTAACACTAGTGGATTAAGGAGTAGAAATCGATCAATCATAATTGAATGTGAGAAAAATAATCAACTATAGTTGATCGATTTCTACACCTACTCCTTAATCAATTACTGCCATTATAGACCACGTGTAAAGCCGGTTCTATATTAGTTGCGAGCCGATCGCAAATTTGTTGCGACAGCCAATTTGAAGCTTGCATTTTGAAATCAATACTTCATATTGAATGTCGCAACAAAATTAGGCTTAAGATGATCTTAAAATAAGATCGATATTCATAGTCGAGTCTACTCTTTCAAGATCGTCTTAAGTAATATCTTAAGACATTAATGTAGCTTTGATTCGTGACTTCTTAAGATTGTACTTAAAATGGTCTTGAAGATAAGATCTGACTATGAATACCAGTCTAAGAACCGACTGAATACTAACCTACGTCATGTATATATTTTCAGCACTGACTGTAATTTTGAATCACAGCCCTTAAGATGTCTTTTCATGCCGACGTTCAACGCTCATTTTCAATGTTAAAATAAGCGTGTGATAGAAATGACGAATATCAAGCATCAATTTTGATCACGTGATTTTGATGTTGAAAATAAGCATCGAGCATCAGCATGAAAAGGCACCTTTATTCATTCTATTATGCGCGTAGCCTTTACATCGTACGTCTTTCTATCAATTCCACCATGCCAATTGCCATGGTCCATTCTTCCGGTTTTCATCGCTCTTTCAGACGAACAAGATGGCTGATCAGGTACGTGTTCGACGCCGTGGTCGTAAATAAATCAATTTCCTCATTTATACATCACAACATTATTTTATAAAAATATGCTCTCGTCATGATTAGCATTAGCTGATAAAAGTAGTTTATCAAGTAAGATCATAGATCAAGATTCATTCAAATAGTTAAAGTTTGTCGGCGTAGCACGTGGTTAGGTCGTCCACGCGTGCAAAGATTCAGACACGGAGAAGTAGAAATGACACGTAATCCATACAATTTTATTTGTTATAGAGCGAACGTGCGTTCCAGAAACAGCCCACGATCTTTCTTAACCGTAAGAAAGGTCTGGGCCCGAAGCGCAGGAAGCCTATGAGATATAGCCGCAATGTCGGACTCGGTTTCAAAACTCCTCGCGAAGTAAGTATAAATCTGCCTTGCTCTGATGTTTATTGTTCTGATTTTATGATGATTTTAGTTGATAATCTTAGAATAGATGTGTTTCATTTACTATTAATTTATTTCATATATAAGAAGCATTGATTAAGAGATACAGATTAAGGAAATACATTTGTCTTAAGTACTGTTTTATCTTTATTATTCATTGAATGCCAAGGAAATTAGAACGACATTTGTGTCTCCTAAAAGGAAAGCAGCCTAACTCAGCGAGTACAGTTTTTTAATTCGACTGATCAATTGCAAATGCTACTTTTATCGAATTATAAAATTGTATTTGCGCATAAAGCAATTGATCAATCGATGAATTAAAAACTCACCTTTTGTATGAGATGTAAATGGTTGAATGTACAAAAATTTAATCTGTTTTTATTCCACTAGAATTTTCTTTCTTGCTTTCGTCAAATATCAAATATATTTATTTTGCTTTAGATTCCAAAAATGTATTTTTTTGATTATAAAATTTAGCTATAAAAACAGATCTATAATATTATTCAAGTAGGATATTGGGCTAAAGTGTATCGAATTAGAAATAGAGTTTGATTAAGATTTAAATAACTACAGATTGTTAATATATACCATAATTTTAATTATTTTTATTACAATACTATTGTTATAGATCATTTTTATTACATTACTGTTTATTACATTACTGTTATCATAAATATGACCCAAATATTAATTGATGATAATATAAATATCACGATGGTCTTCTGAAGATATTTTGAAGAGTCTATATTTTCTGAGTGTTTTTACATCTATTTCTTATTGATAAAGAATATATAAGATACCTTATATATTTTGCTGGTTTAATCTTTGCAGGCTCTTGAGGGAACCTATATCGATAAGAAATGCCCATTCACTGGCAATGTATCGATTAGAGGACGTATTCTTACTGGCGTTGTACAAAAGATGAAAATGCAACGTACTATAGTTATTCGCAGGGATTATTTGCATTACATTAGGAAGTACAATCGGTTCGAGAAGCGTCATCGCAATATGAGTGTCCATCTCAGTCCTTGTTTCAGGTACAGGTAGCCAATTTCAGGTAGCCAATAAAATAATTTTTTTTCTATTATAAAATTTTTTTAATTTCCACTTTTATGATGATAATTTATATATATCACGATGGTCTACTGAGATGTTTTGATGATCATTATATATCTGAGTTACAAAATATTTAAAGAAAATGAGCAATTAATTTAGCATTCATATTTACGAACTTTATGTTATATTTCAGAGATGTAGAAATTGGTGATGTAGTCACCATTGGAGAATGCAGACCTTTAAGCAAGACAGTAAGATTTAATGTATTGAAGGTATCGAAAGGAACAGGATCAAAGAAAAGCTTCAAGAAGTTCTAAATATCTATCTTACAGCAATGGTTTGTAATATTCATTATTTGTAATTTATATTACTATTAACCTTTAATATACCTTTGGGTCATTTGTGTCCTGCACATTTTTTTTATATACAACAATTGTACATGATGTATATACAATTTATTATAAATATTTATTATAAATGTACAACTTTCTGAAGAAATATAAAATTTATAAAAATTGTTTAATAATTTTTATATACTTATAAAAGTGAAATTAATCCAAGATGCGAAAGACCCATCATGTGTAATAAAGGTGCCAAA